ATTGTTTCATGCCAACTGGACAGCTACATGATTGTAATGGTGCAACTAGCCAGCAGGATTGTTGCCACACCAAAAAATCATTAAATGTGAGCCACTGACGAGAACGATAAATATCTAACCAGGCCGACGGTGTTATATGGGCGTACAACATAAAAATCGCCATGCCAGTATGGTAAAGAATACTGTTACGATCAATCATTGTAGCCCATTTATAACCGGCTAGTTCGCAATCGGGTATGATGGATGCGCAAACAGAAAATGGATTGGTGTCACAATGCTTCGATCAATCACCCAGCATGGTCTCAATCTTTGGAAGAAATGACGACAGATGTAATTTATTTCGAAGTGTATATTGCCTTTGTTAAAATTTATATGTTTATATAAATAAAAATGTGATGCTGGAAAATTTGGTGATCAAAAGGATCTTTCTTTGGCGATCATTTGTATCTAAAGGCGTTTGGTGATCAAAAGTATCTTTTTTTGGTGATCAAAACAATTGACACCCATTAAACTGGTCCAATAATTTTTTGGATCAGAGAATAACGACCGAATATTTTTAAAATGGTTAGGTTTATCCTTGCGAACTGATGCTATAACCTTATTTCTTAACTTTTTATACGATTCTTGTTTTGTTATTGGTTTACGTTTAATTTTCTGAAATAATTTATTGCGCTCCTTAATCAAATTAATAGTAGCTTTGGATGTTTTAAACAAGGGATTTTTTTACTAGAAATTAGTTTTTTTGGTACATAATTTTCAATACATTTAGAAACGTGTTTTAACTATAAATCCAATGCTGAGTCAACGCCAGTTGAAAGATAAAACATAGGTTCTATTTTCGACAGAGCGTGACGAAGGGCTTGCTGATCACAGTTTTCAAAATCCGAGATTAACTTTAAAGATGTTACTGCGGAGGGGCTACCTAAATGAAACTTGCCGACAAGCACGAAATGGGGGGATTTCCTGAGTTCGGGTTTCACTTCGGTGTTTGGCAGTTGTCAGTGTTTTGGGTAGAAAGCTTTGTCGAGAGAGGTAGAAGAGAGGTCTAGGTTAGACTGTAAACACCATCACATACTTTTTACATGTTTTTGGAGAACATTTATCATTTTGCTGACACCATTTTGCGACGGATGAAGACCATGTCGACGATGGACATCATGAAACTTGAAATCAAAATCGATCGTTTTAAACACTTTTGTTTGTTTCAGTTCGTCAAGTGCCGTATTGTACAGGTTTCGTTGTTTTTCAATGTCATTCGTTGCGTTTTCTTCAGTTCGAAATGGCACATGAGCGATGACTATTCAATATTTGGATATGAAAATTATCAATGAAGGCACTCATTTTTTTGATAACACCCGAGGCAGGCAATGTGGATAAATCGATTGTGCCAATGATAAATACTACACGATCCTGACCTTCAAGATGATAATCCAATTGATTCTTTTCTAGTCGTTTTATAAAATTGTTGATGGTGTTTCCTCGAAATGTTTTTAATGTAGTTTTTACATTGGAAGTGGATAACAATTTGGAATCCAAATAGGAAACAAAACTATGTTCAGAAATGAACAAATGTTTGAGATCATCGTTTTTATTTTCACTTTGTTGTTTATTTGTTTCACACCTCTTTTTCGATGAGACTGCTAGCATTGAATCTTATTTTTTCTTTTGATTTTTGGTGTCGATGTTGCATTTGGAATATGATTTTCAGTTTCTTTCGGTTGTGGTTGAAATGAAGGCTGATGTAAAAGCGGCTGTTGTACGGATGATAAAGCAGGAATAGACATTAATGGTGATGGTTGGTCCTGATGCAGGAGATGTCGAACAAGATCATGGTTTTCTTGTAGAAGACGTTCATTTTGAGCAAGAACGCGATCAATTCGATTCAGTAAACGATTAATAATCATATTTTGTTGCTCAGAAGACCCGGATTTGATGGGGAGTACCTTGAAAAATCGACATTGTAATGACGGGTCGTGTCTTTTTGTCGATAATGTAAGATTCATTTCTGAATCGTTCAACGTTTCCTGAGTATCATTTTTCATTTGGTTGTAATTTTCATTTGATTTTTCATTAGAAATTATATTGATACACAGGTGTAACATTTCAATAACTTCTTGTAATTTACTCGATTTAAATTTATTTAACTTTTTCTTGTACCGATTTTCAGCAATAACGAGTTGCTCATAAAAGATGGACGACGTAGAGGTGGTACCAACGACAGAGGTAGCCATACCAAAGAAGAAGAAACAAAATTTAATCTAGAACGACAGGTGTCGGATAATCCTCCTGTCAGCAATCACACGTAGGTAATTCAACTTGCCTACAATCTGGCAGTGCCAAAATATGTTCAGCTGAAAGTTCATAGTGGATCTTCTGACACCCGAACTCCAGAGATTCACCACAAAAAGACCTAGCAGTAGAAACAGATACAAGATTCGTGATCAGCATCAAAGATTACCCACAATCGTGTATGTCTGATGAAAAAGCGATTGGACACTTGGGAGATTTCCCCATTACAGATCGGATAGAAGAGGAAGAGTTCACTTTTTCAGTATTATACATGCTGATTCCCGTGATTTAATATATGTCATAATTATTACATTTTGGCTAATTTGAAAACATATAGTGTTGAAGTGCATACGTAGTATTCGTTACGCGATCTGTCTCTTCAAAGTTACTGATAAATGTAGACAATCATCTTCTTTAGGCATTCATCCTCTCTAGACATTCATGGCCTTGAAGGTTGAAGCATATAACTTATCGTGAAAGTTTTAAGCATTGTTTTTTATACTTAATGAAAATCGTATAGGTTAAGGGATAAATGTTTATATTCTATTTCAAACTTGAAGTCACATTAGTCGGCGCATTTCGTTGAAATTCTAGAGAAAATTCTTGTATATTTAGACGTTGGCAGTTCATTAATTGAAACAGTGTGAGATAGAATATAAGAGAGTTGTCCGATTTGTACGGGGTAATGGCGTTCTGAAATTGTCTTAACAATGAGTTCTTTTGTTCGCAAATCTGACTATTAACAGGATTGAGGTGAGGGTAAGTGTCCATATTGCGATCTGTAACACACATGGATCGTTTATAGTTTTGGTGAACTCGATCTATCAGTAGAAAGGATGAATGTCTAGAGTAGATGAATATCTAGAGATGATGAATGTCTACAACGCACACAGATTGATATACATGTTGTATAGAGCAAGTTAGCCAAAATGTAATCACTCTGACATCTTTCAAGTCCGAAGTCCACTGTCTGAGTATCGAGTAGGGCTCGCGCTCGGTACATGCCTAATCGGTAAACTAGTTCCATCTCTGTAAGCAGCACTATTTGTATTATTGTAGAATGTTGTTTCGTATATACTATATAGGTGAGCATGTTGGTTGCCAAGATTTAAAAGAAGCAATAATGAAAAGAGAATCTTTGAAGGCAGTAGTATTTGGTCATGTACATCCTTCATATGGTGCTATACAACGGGACAATAAATGGTTCATTAATGCTGCGCAATATTATGGTATATATCACAATCATTATGATAACAACCCAGTTGAAGTTTTTGTACAACCTCGTGATATAAGCTCCAGTGAAATAAACATCGAATCCGTAGTTCTCAACTCCTCAGTAGTCGACGTCGAATAATATAATGTGTGAATGTGTGGCCTGAGAAGCATGGAAATGACTAACTAGTTAATATGTAATGATATGAGTTGGATTTTTACAATTGGAATTGTAAGAAATTTACTTAGAGAAACTACTTTTCCACATATGTGATGCATATAAATATGGATCTTCCTTTTTTTTCAGAAAACAATCACTTGACAACTGAAAAAGGTCCTGTGGTGGACCCTTTCTTAAGTTTTTTCAACTTTCTTCTCTCTGTTTCTCTTCCTTCAAGGAGTGGATTAACTGTCTTTGCCACACACCGTCCTTTGCCCATTTCCTTTGCATTTTCCGCATCCATCGTATCTTCGACAGACAGACTATCGTTTATACTTTAAAAACTAGATGTTATAGAAAATCGAAATAGCACACGTAGCTCTTTATATAAAGTTGTATTCGAGAAAAAAGTTTTTTTCGTTTCTTTAATAAAGTCATCCAGACCAAATTATTTACTTCAATAGCACATATTGATGTTAAGAATAAGGCTTCTTGCCTGATCGGGCAAGGCATATTGCCCGTTTCGGCAGTAAATCCCTAGAAGATGCTTCTTTCCTACTCTGAAAAAACAAGCACCTCTCCACTGTAGGTAAGCGTCATCCTATGCAGTTTTTGATGCTCTTTCAAGTGGAATAAGTCTCTTTATGCGTCATCGCTCTCATTTCTGCGTTGATGTGTTGCGAGAGAAAAATGTGGATATCTGGCCGAAAGGAGCAAGGTACTTCTGGCCCGATCAGACCATATTGCCTCATCGGGCCAGAAGTCATGACAACGGACTGACAGTAATCAGCATGTCCAACAGCCTGTGTACGTTGTTGAGGTTCCCATGGATCGGACTTGGCCTTTATGTAGGCCGTCGGAGATTGCCTGTAGCCCCGAACCATCGTAGATGGAGGTGTGGGGCTTGCACCATATTGTAGAATGACATCTGCTCTATATCCACATGTATTTAAACCAATATCTCGCTATATTGGAGATAGCTAGCACTTTCGTCACGTTAACTTTCGCCACATAGAAAAAGAACTTTCGTCACTCATGACGAAAGTGTATGGCATTTTTGGGGGAGTACCATCCCACACGTTTGACACAAGAGTGGTAAACTTTGGTAATCAACTGGGTAACATACATACAACTATCGTCACACCCCATCGCGAATTTTCGGCACATTAATAGCATATAACTGCTTACATGTGAACTACTCCTATCTGGCTGCTGCAGTGTGGACTTATCCAGACCGAACTACTTCCAAACGTAATAGACGCTTAGTTTAGATAATCTGACTTTAGAAAAAGACTTCAGAAGGGTTTTTTACGCGTTTCGCTAAGAAAATGCAATGTTTGTAAAGAGAAAAGCAAGTTATTATTCCAGCTTGCACTGCTACAGTTTACATTACTGCAGTTTAGACTAGTGAACTTTGCACTACAACCTTGATTTCATTGCAGCCGTTTTATGCATCGTGTGACGAAAATCTAAACGACCTGTCTAAAAAAGCATCCCATTGTGTGCTATGTAGAAATATTTACTGAAAGCGTCACCGAGAATATATTTAGTATCAGCTCTCTTGTTGCTAATAAGAACAATAAAAGAACGATATTGTGCCGTTATTTTGTTCCATATTTCTTTCGTTTCTTTTATTTTCCACCGTTCTATAACTACTTGACACTTTCAGTAAATATTTGTATACATGAGTTTCTGTCAGTAATAAATTTGGTAGACTACCAGGTAACGGAAGAAAAAAAAGAAACACACTTGACTTAAATCGAAAACTAAAAATAGAAACCCTTTTATTCTATAAATAAATATGCTATAAGTTTCTGTGCTTATTTTATTTAGTACATTATCACACGAAGAAAGAAAGTCTACCGAAGGTAAGTACCACGAATATTCTCGCGTACGGTAGTTCCGTGTACTATGTAGTTGTTAACGAAAATTTATAAGGTTCTGTGCTCTGAAATAAAAGTGCAGCACGTAATAAGTTATTCTAAGTGCTGTTTGAGATACTCCAATACGAAGCAAATCTAGACTGTAGTAATTACAGATAATTCTATCTCCTGTTTCTTCACTAGTATTTACACAAATATGACAAAATGTGGCTTGAAAAACAGAGTTATCAACACGGAAGAAATTTTTGATATCAAAGAAATTTAGCCGATTCTGCATCACCAGCAGTGTTCACGTGCAATTCACAGACTCTTGACTGGAAGTATTTTTAGTGGAACTCTCACTATCTTCGAAGAAGAGGGAGTAACAGTTTTATACCCCAAAACCGCTGTTTTTAATATAAATTTGTGTTAGGAGTTCCACCTTTTAGCACCTTTTAGGTGCTGCCCCGCCAAGGTTTTCTATATCGTGCTAGCATAAGAGCCTATAAATATAGAAACAAGGAATTAAATAAATCAAGCAAGATTTCAAGATTTATATTTATTTCTTCACTACTAGCGAACTCCTTAATCGTCTCTCAGAAAATCCGAAAGATGTGAATTGTTCGTTCATGTATATAGACCAAAAGTCAACCCTTACATTCCAGCCTGAAGTCTATATGAACCTCAAAATCCAGGCAAACATCGTGCTGGTAAGAATATGAGGATTAATCTCATAATCTCGATAATGATCAGTTGAGTCGTTTATCATAATGATCCCATTCAGACGCATGCAATAATAACACAGAATATTATTTACACTATATACCGGATTATGATAACCGAAGAACTGTAAGTTCTTTATCTAACCAGTGTAAATATCGAATCATTCGACTGCTCGAACTGAGCATCGGTTCTCGCACATTCCTTCGGTCGGCGCTTGGTCCTCACACTCATCGTTCGTGATATTTCTCATGCAGGTACAAATTATTGTGCAAATTTGTTGCACCCACTAACAACAAAATGATGGAGTAACTTGTAAAAAGTAGCCATTTTTTCAAGTGGAGTCACACAGACAGTCTATTCTTCTCTATCTTCTTTTGATAAGGCGCCCCGAATTCGAAGAACGACCACTATTTTAGTTTTGGCTTATGTATACATCAGTCAATAGAGAATTTAACGCTCATCAAGAATGTCATGGTTAAGAAATTCTAAGTACCCTTTTAGTATGGAAAAATGTGAAAATACTGGAATTTTTTCGAAAAGTCGCTTACTTTTTTAAAAGATCAATAATTCTGTGCCAACTGATTTTGAGGCGTTTA